ATTAAGCGTCTAAGTATAATTATGTATGAAAACGGAAAAATTATTATTTTGAGGTTATCTCCTTAATTATTGATTAAATCAAAAAAAATTGTTGACAAAGTTTGTTTAGAATTGTTTCAGGAACAATTTTTGTTAAAACAATTTTTTTCTAACTTGAAATTTTAATTTCCCACTGAACAGTATGCTGTTTTTTTAATCAGAACGAGTGGAGGGGGGAAATCGTATCGTTTTGTTACAAAAGTTCCGTGCCCTAGTAATGATAAAGATTATTTAATGGAAGAGTTTTAGGTGGCTACAAGTCTGTAAGTTCAAGAAACAAAGTAGCCGAATAACGTTACCACCCCACCAAACAAGATCGAAGTTTTACGAATACACATTGGATGTCTACATACATGAAAGAAAGGCGAAAACTTCAACCCTAAATTCTGACCCAGGTCTTCAATACAATCAATCAGGCGGGTTAATCCTCAGGAGACCGCTCAATACTTAAAGCACTACAGTTTTGAATTGCGTCCAAAATATCTGTCTCCAAATTGGCGATTTTTTCTTCAAGACTTGCAAGTTTTGCGGTTTGTTGAACTTTCCATTTTTGAACATAGTTAGTAACGTCTTCTGTGGCTAGTGTTAGATCGACAACCGAGGATCCTCTGGGTCCTCTATAAGTTGTTATCCCAGGCGTGTTCATAATTACAAGTTTATTTTTAGCTCCCCATTCTTCCAGTAATTTCCCCCTTGGATTATGGATATTAATCACCGGCCGTTATGTCTCCGAAGAGTAACGCCTGCTTTTGACTTGATCTTATTTCCGACTTTAGATGATCTAATATGTCCCTATGAAGCGTTTTCTTGGTTTTCTTCTCTGCCATCTGACTTTAGATTTATTGCCCTTTTTTGGTCTAGAGTCCTTTTTCTTCAACCCTCTGCATTTTCTTCTTCCCCTTTTATCTTTGCTCTCATTCATTGTACTGTTTCGTTTGGTACCCCTGGGAATACAAAAATTCAAAATCTGATTACAAGGTCTCAATCCAACAACATGAAATCGGCATATTAATCGAGTTCCCACAAAGGCGCATTTTAAAATCTTGCGAAAATATCGCAGAGAGATTGAGACAGGAAACGGTCGTTATGGGCAGAGAGAAAGGTGAACAGAAAAAGAGACGAGTGGAAATAACTGGATGTGAAAATGCAAAGTACTGAGATAAGGAAAAGTAGATATAACCCAAAATACGTGGAGAGTGTAGCAGAGGGGCAACGAAGTACTTGATGGCGGAAGGAGTTCAAAAAGGGAAGAGGTTGGTGATCAGTAGGGCACGGAACTTTTGTAACAAAACGATACGATTTCCCCCCTCCACTTGTTCTGATTAAAAAAACAGCATACTGTTCAGTGGGAAATTAAAATTTCAAGTTAGAAAAAAATTGTTTTAACAAAAATTGTTCCTGAAACAATTCTAAACAAACTTTGTCAACAATTTTTTTTGATTTAATCAATAATTAAAGAGATAACCTCAAAATAATAATTTTTCCGCTTTTATACTTAATTACACTTGGATGCTTAATTAATAGAGATGTAAAATTTTTTTATTAAGATATTTGATTCAAAATCGAAATTGAAACAAATTTTATTTAAAACATTTTTTGATAAAAACAATAATTA